CCCAATTTAGTGAAGGACTTGGGATGACTCGAGTTTGACACCCCTGATCTAGAAGGAGATGCTAGCTTTACAACTAACACTCTTAACATCTTACATCATATATTTTGTTCAAAAAACTTACCTGAGTTATATTGCCATAGCAGGTGATTTGATGAAATCCAAATTTATCCACATAATTAGGTTCTGTCTGACCTACTCCTAGCAAAATAAGCACTTATTTTCTCTACTTATTGAGCAAGATATAAATGAATCCTACTGAGATCTGTATCAAGAAGTAGTTTTCATACTGCAGCCTTAGATAGAATACAGATATCCTCACTTCCAACCACTTGTTCAATGACTGTTCCAAAGTTACAACAGCAGTAAAAATGTAGAGTTATTACCAGTCCTCTAAGTTGCAGCCCTCATGGTGTCCATGAATTCATGAGATTGGAATTTGGGCACTTGGAAACTGGAATATGTTTACGAAAGTTGCAACATCCTGTGGTAATGTGACCACCATCCATTTGTGACTTCACAGCCAGCTTTTAACAAGCAAGTCAATGGGGAAGCTGGCAGGAAGTTGCAAATCAAGATCATGTGACATTGTGCTCGACCCACGGTGATTCGCTTAATGATCATGTGGGAACTGATGTCATAAGGCAGCTGCAGTCCTGTGAAGTTTCACTTATGACTACATCATTTAGCAGCAGAGTTGTCAGTCTCAACTATAGATGGAGAACTGAGTTCTTGATGCTCCCTTAACTTTGTTTCTTTTCTTGCAGATGTTTCATTATCTAACCTAGGTAATTATCTAATTTGGGTAATGAAACATCTGCAAGAAAACAATCTATTTCAGAAAGCACCAAGGATACCTCATTTCAACTCTGAGTTACAAATAGTCTCCTTTATTGGTAAATGAGAACTACTTACACTGTATAGTACAAGAATTGGAAATCTTGGGAGTTAAGTACATAAAATACATTGGACTTATGCCTGATCGAGCATCCAGGTTTGTTTTGCACATATACTTTTTCAGATTCAATAATAATGTCAATTTTCTAACAGAACAGAAGCAAATAGCAATATTATAAAGAAAAAAAGGAAAAGGGAGCATAATATTAATTTTATCTATCTGTCTGTCTGGCTGTCTGTCTAGCTATCTTTAGAACCATGAGCTCTAATAATTACATCAGCTTCCATCTAAAGTTGTACTCAAAATCTATTAATTATAAGTAACTCCTAGTTTGTAACAACTATATTGTACCAATTGTTTGTTCTTTTTTCCTTAACTTTTCTCCATTTTCTTTATTGTAAAGGTGAAGATCTGCCATTTGTTCTCCAAGTTTTGCTGAATATCTAGAACGAGAAGAAAACAAACTCCAGTGTTATGGACCATGTGGTTCCAAATCAGCCTGCACAACACATTACCCTATCAATAGTTTATTAATCATCAGTAATAAGTGCAAGTTTAGTATTATTACAAATGTTCTGTCCTCAGAATTTTGTCTCTTGACAGGGGTTTCAGGACACTTAGCTTTCTACCACCCCTGTCCCCCAGGAAAATGTGAAAATCCTGATCTCTAAAATTATTTTGCTACCAGTGAGACATTGTTTCATGCTAGTAACATGCAGGCTCTTTTCAGAACTGCTATTATAAAAGAAGAGAAAAGGAATGTTAATTCAAAGAAGCAACATCTTAAAATGAAGCCTTTAACATCCTTGTTGAGGCTTTTCATTTTTATGTACTCCATAGCAAATGCAGTTCCACCTCCAGGAAGATCCATCACTTTAATTGGCTGAGGAACCCGTACAGTGTTGGTTTTCTGAATTTCTCTTAAACTTGCCACTTCACCTTCAAACATAGTCCTAGCCTGGTCAGAAATAAGAATATAATTTAATGAAAATTTGATTGAATGTTAAGATTTTGCAGGACAGAAAAAAAGAGTTGTTTTTCTGATTTTCTGTTTGAAGAATTCAGTCAATTCTTTAAATATATATAGATATGAACCTGTTGCCCCCCCACCCCCACAAAAAAAATAAATATACACCAAATATTCAGGAGCAGGTGAAAGAAGCATTGCTTAGAAATAGGTGTCCATAGACCCCTTCTTTGGTACATACCAGGCACTCAGTTCATTTTAATTGTTTTAGATTCATCCAGTTCACAAACACACACACACACACACACACACACAAAATAAACATGAACTCAGAGCATACTGCTAAAGAATTTTCCAGTCTCCAGAGCATCTTTATTTCAAAAAATGTCTCTGGCTCAAACAGGCATTCTTAGAAAATAAAAATGGTGGATAGCTGTAACCCATTTTTTTATTGGAAGTGTCCCACAAAAGGAAGCCAGGGCACTAAATTACATCTTTAAGAACAATCTGGGACTCATTAGGGTTTTTTTTTTACATATAATATAGGATTGTGATGTTTCCTCTGCTCTCACAACTCTCCCCCTCCTCAACTGACCCTTGAAACTGCTTGCTAATTTGCTGGGAGGAAAGGGAACAAAGGGAGCTGCACCCCTGCCCCAGTGAGGAAGAAAATGGGTTCTGTGTGTCCTCAAAGGTCCCCTTCCTCCAATGAGGAAGAGAGTTTAGCGATCGATGATAAATGTGCACACCTCACAAGTAGCCCTATTCTGGCAGACACCCAAGTCATTCCTTTGTTCTTCCCTCACCAGCCATTAATAGATTTCGATTTTCAGCCTCAGGTCCAAAGCAGCCAATGGCCACTCACCATCATCTTGCTACCAGCCAGTTAGACACAGGGGTCAGAGGAAGATAGAACAGAGGCTCATTTTCCTTTGCACCATGCAGCCACTGGTTTCTGGGAAGTGCAGAAAGGAAATGCAGTTAGAAGGCATGGTGGTGCTAAAGTGGTCACAATTTTGCCAAATTTCAGTCACGTGTGAATCCTAGGTCTCAGATTTTGGGCGATTTCTGTAAGTTAGCTCATCTGAGGTACATTGATTGAAACTATGTTGCTCTGTGTTGCAATGTTTAGCCCAATAGAGAATTACAAACTATCAAACAGACATAATAAGATGGTAGTATATAGATGGGATGAGGAGCAATCCTGAACTTGCCCTTTCGTAAAAGTGGATTTGTGACTTTCTATGAAAATACTGACAGCATGCTCTTATAACTTCTAATATGCACATCAACCCAAGGTTTTTCATCCCTGCAATAAGTTAATGGAAGAATTATCAATTAATCTTAATAAAATAGTAGAAAACATTTGTTAGCAGATGAATAAATTTGGATATACTGGTTATCAACTAGAATATCCTTTGGGATGAGAACATGAAAAGGTAAGTAAATACTGTATATATTTAACCCACTGGACTCTCAGTGAATTAAAAGGAATACAAACACCATAAAAATGTGCAAAATCAGGGTTATTTGAAAAACTCCAAGTGCCAGTGATAACATTCTGTATAAGATAAAATGTATTTTTATATTTGCTTCATATATTTCTTTTCTTTTTTTCATGAAAAAATAACATTTGATTTTTTTTTATTGATTTGATTTCTTTGATTATTATGAGCTGCCCAGGGTTGTTGAGCCAGACAACATACAAGCTTATTTTTTTATGTAAATTCCCAGTGCTTTGAAAGAATGACAAGGCAGGAGATAGGTTTCCATCACCATAAAAAAAAAAAAAAAACATGTGCAGGTGCCAAAACTTAATCAAATGTTTGCTTAACTTTAATCGCATGAATTAATTGGCCAGCGAGACTCGGGAGATTCCACGAGGATTAGAGCAGAAGAGCTAATTAGATAATTAGTGCAAATTTCCAGGAATACTTCCGCTGATTTCACGAACCAGATATTCCCCTCACCCCGCAAACATGCTGATCAAGCTGCACATCGAAACGCCCCTTAAACAGAATTCGCTTCGCCCACCCTGTGCACTCTTATTGCGAGCGGTAAAAACGAAAGGGAGCAAAACAAACAGCTGTGTCACAAGGTATCTATCGCCGCCGCTACCAGCTGACTGCCCTCCCAGTCTCCGAGCCTTCCCAGCTACAGTATTTTAACTAGCTAACAGAGCTGTCACCACGGTATTGTTAACCTGGGGCTTATTGTGGCTTTTAACAAACACTCGTCCTCCGTCGATCTCGTCGGCTTGTCCTTGGCATATGTACCCTCCTCTTGAGCCACTCAAGAGCTTCAAAACGGTGGTTTTCGGTTCAGCTTTCAGCAGGTTTTCCCTGGTTGTTGAAAATGCCGCCCGCCCCTTTGGGATTCTTGCCTTCAGTCACCAGCGCACGCTCGTATTGCGGCTCTTTTAATCTCTTTGCGGCCAAACGTAAAACTGAAACGCGAGGAATCATATAGCGTAACTTTGCGCGGCAGGGCGCGGACGGAGGACAGGAGGAACTCAAGTTAGTGGGCGCTACAGGACTGACGGTCGCTGGGCAAGATAGCGCGGTTCTCGACCGAAGGAAAGCTGAATGACGTAGGTTTGAAAAACAAGTTAAAAAACGGCCATTCTTGCACTAAAAGGGACTCGTACGCCGCTAGCGAGAGGGAGTCGGAGGGCCCCTGGAAGCCCTCAGAGAGCGCTTGATCATTCTAGTTCGCTAATTCTAATTCGTTTTTGGTGACGCTTTTTTTTAGCTCCTCCCTTTTTATTTGAAACTAGATCACACGATAATAGCCAGCTAGCTGCTAGACTTAGAATAACTTTATTGTCACTTTGAATGTACACTAATTGGCATACATTAAAATGGAATTTCGTTGCATACAGCTCTCAAAGGGGCACTACCTCCAAATACAACACATAAACATGACTAAATAAATGCAAAATTATACCTGCATATACCCACATATTATGACACAGAGAAACAACACAGTCTAGTTCCGATATATAAATGTACTGGGGGAAGCACATGTCAATTTAAAGTATGGAGAAAGTTTTAGAAAATAAAAGACAACATACAAGCTTATTTTTTATGTAAATTCCCAGTACTTTGAAAGAATGACAAGGCAGGAGATAGGTTTCCATCACCATAAAAAAAAAAAAACATGTGCAGGTGCCAAAACTTAATAAAATGTTTGCTTAACTTTAATCGCATTGGCCAGCGAGACTCGGGAGATTCCACTAGGATTAGAGCAGAAGAGCTAATTAGATAATTAGTGCAAAGATGGACTATGATGTGAAAGATGCCGGTCTTAGAGGTTGTCTCTGAAATTTCCTACATCTAGAATTTGTAAAAGCTGAATTTGGTTTTATTGACTATCAGGCTAAAATATTTCCTTTTCAATATTCGAGTTATTAGAGATTATAGAATTGCTGTTACACAAGGGGACAAGTAATCAGAAGCCCCCACACTGGGCCTGGGTAGCTGGTTCTAGAGGTAACTTTAAAATAAAACTGCTCATTTATAATATACTTAAATATGATCCAGCAGTGTGCTGCAGCTGCCAAAAAAGCCAATGCAGTCCTAGGCTGCATTAACAGAGGGAGAGAATCAAGGTCACACAAAGTGCTAGTATCACTTTATAATGGCTTGGTAAGACCATATTTGATCACCCTGATATAAAAAAGATGCTGAAACTCTGGAAAGAG